CTGATCTTACAAAGTTCTCTACAGGCTGCCTCGGAAAGGTTCTACCCACTGCCCAGAACTTGTCGCCCTTAGATGCCCTTTCTCACAAGGCTGTAAAATGTGAAGAAGCTTTTTCAGCTCTGTAGCTGAATTAATGCTGTTAATGCACATGGCCCACTGTTGGAGCCCGCCTGACAAGAGCCAGCTGTGATCACTTTGGGGGAATGATAATTTTCAGTGACTGAGCCTTCACCCGGTCTTCAAGGGAACAGTGTCTCTTGATGCTGGTACAGATAAATGCTGACAAAACTACTGTACTACAGCTGAGCGTGGGGCCATATTGTCTGATGAATGGTGTGTAATTTCAGGTATTTATTTTTACTTTCTTTAAAGAATCTTTTGTTTATTAAGAGGTAGAAATAAAACTCCAGAGGTGAAATCAGCTGAAGAGCATCTAATATCTAGTAACTTTTCAGATAATATAAGAACATAGTAAATTCAAATTATGATATGAAAACGAATATTCATGAGCTAATATTGAGCACAGAAGGACAGTCCCAGGAAAGCAGACTTAACAGCACTAGAGCTTCTCACTTAAAGCAGTCCTAAGAGGTAGGCTCTGACAGAGAAACCTTCTAATGAAGATCTACATTGTTACCAATCCTACAAAAAGAGCACACTGACTTAAAAAGCACCTGGAAACCTTTGGGACATTTTCTGATCTTACTTCTTCAGTCAGGATAAAAAGTTTCTGTAACAAAAGCCCTAGAAAACTCAGTAGGGCAAGCCACCTATCATTATACCTTTCCTCAAATTAAACAAGAGGAGAATTGTGCTATAAGACAAATGTTATAGCTTCAGTTGCATTTGGTAATTCAAAGTGAAGCCTACAAATGAGATATCTCATTAGTTTGAGCAGATGGATCAAAATTAAAGGCTGAATCACCAACTCTTAATTTCCCAGTCGCCAGGAAGAGCTTGAAGTCTTGCAGAGCATGACTGTTGAAAAATCAACATAAAAAGCTTCTCTCCATCTGTCAAAACACATGCCTGTAGAATGCAACTACCTCCTACCAGCTTTAGTCTTAAAAAATGAAAGCACGCGTTCATCTATTAAGACACACGAACATATAACTTCAGTGAAGCATCACACTGTAATATGACAGGGACACATCAGCATGACTTCCATAAGAGTAAATTACTTGGTTCTGGCATGGTAGAATTGTTTGAAAATGAGATAACAGAACAGTAAATAAACAAAAAATGTTGAATTTAATTTATTAAGACATTCCAAAGATTCTGGTAAAGAATCTTAAAAGACACAACACTGTGAAAGCTTGATTGCCACAGGAGGGTGTACATTAACTCATGGAACTTTAGAAGAGGGAAAGCATCTTTCTCTGTTTCTGTTATTTCTTTCTTGTGCTTCAGTATAAAACAGAACAGGTAGTTTTTTGGCGCTCTGGAGCACTGCTAATGAGATCGGTGTCTGTCACACATTACTGCCTGAATAGCTATAAAATTCCAATCTTTTCCTGAATTCCATACAGACATACAACTGCTGTGGAAATTGTTCTAAAGTATTGGAAGGTAAGGTGTGAAAATATCTTTCAAAGAAATACATTTAGAAGTAACACAGCTTTGTTAAAAAGCAAACGAACTTTACACACGAAGAATGTAAATACACACAAGTTTCAAGGATAACACAACAAGAAAGGCAACAGAGCATGATGGTAGGAGACTATGCTGAACGTGGACAAAAGGTTTCTAAAAGCTAAGAAAACTGGAAGAAGGTACTAACTTTAGAAGATCAAAGGCTATTCTCAACATTGTGAAAAGACACGAAAGAAAACTGTCCTAGCATAATATTCATTAGATTCACTCATAAAATTAATCTTCCACTATGGAGCAGGCATTTCAGTATAGATATACCTACATGACTTTTCTTTTTTTTCACTTTAACATCTAGTTAACATTAACAGTTGGTTTAATGATCATTTGTCATAGCATACTCACTAAAAGGAAAAATCCCTGATTTTTACCATGTGATACAATATTACATACTATAATTAACTGTGTCAAACTATGAGCTTGATTCCGCATTGTCCAAGACTCCATACCAGTGCTTGCATATCATTCGTTTCAGGATAAGTTTCTAAGTTTGTTTCGTAAGTATCAAGACCTGTATGTTTTAAATACGCTGAATAGAACTACAATTCTCTACCATTCTCCTTCACCTGTAGCTCATACCTTAAAACAAAAAACTCTCATGCATTCAGCTGCTAGTACAGGAACTAAAACTATTCTCAAAGAAAGCTACAAAAACATCTGCTAGAATTAAACAATTCACTGTGCTTGAATTTTTCAAATAACATTATATATATTTGTAAATAGTTTTTTCCTCAGTGTGCACAGAAGAGAAGGGAAGAAAGGTTTAACAAATACACTGGAACAGCATGCAGCTTACTGCTGGGAATCTGAGATATGTTACTTATTTATACATACTAATTTAAAGAATGTGCTACTTGTAGGTTTAACTATAACAAGCGAAAATAAACAAAATCATAACAAGAAATGAAGCATAAGCAACGAAACGTACCTCGGCATTAGGAATTTGTGAAGATATGTGCATAATTAACAATGAGACATAAATAAATCAAAGTTCCTTCGGTACTGCCAAAAAACTTTGTTAACAATCTTCAGTCAGATTTTCCATATCAGCATTTCCATGTGTAATCTTCATGAAGTTTTCAAACAACAGTAACTGATATCAGCAAGAGAAGATAACCATGGAGGTCCCAGTTGACTGAAAGTTAGCAAATGTGATAACCCACCTAGAAGAAGGGCTGGCAAGATGGTCCAGGAAACTACTGGCCTGTCAGCCTGACCTTGGTGCTAGGGAAGTTCATGCAGCAGATCATCTTGAGCGCCATCATGTGGCATGTACAAGACAAGCCAGTGATGAGGCCCAGTGAGCATGGGTTTGTGAAAGGCAGGTCCTGCTTGACTAACCTGATCTCCTCTTGTGACAAGGTGACACATTTAGAGGATGCAAGGAAGTCTGTGGATGTTGTCTACCTAGACTTCAGTAAAGCTTTTGACACCAAGTTGGGTGGAAGTGTTGATCTGCTTGAGGGCAGCAAGGGATCTTGACAGGCTGGATCAATGGGCCCAGGCCAACTGTATGAGGTTCAACAAGGCCAGGTGCCAGGTCCTGCACCTGCATCACAACAACCCCATGTAACACTACAGGCTTTGGGACGAGTGGCTGGAAAGCTGTCTGGTGGGAAAGGACTTGGAGGATTTCATAGAATCATAGAATCATAGAATGGTTTGGGTTGGAAGGGACCTTAAAGATCATCCAGTTCCAACCCCCCTGCCATGGGCAGGGACA